TCAAGTTTTTTAATATCTTAAACCATATTTTTTAAAGCTTTAAAATTTGAATGGGCAGAATTTAGCCAAATATTTTGATTCGGTTTATTTCGTGAAATGTTTAGAATTTTTTTACTCTAATATATAATAATTGATAATATATAATTTAATGTTGACATTTTAAAAGAATACGATGCTTCTTACTTTACTTCGAGCAATATCACATAAATGATTTAAATTGGTTCATTCGAATTTTCTTTATCACCGTTGCTATTAAGTATGAAGTCATTTTATTGTATAATGTTTCGTATGTATGAACTACAAGTTTTCCACCTATATTAAATATTAACGTTAATGTTGAAATCTTTTATATACAACATACGGAACAATACAGTATAATGATTAATAATCAAGAAAAGTTAACCGTCCTAATCACGTGATGATCAATAACGTCAGCTACATTTTATTATGGGCGATACTAGGTTGGCAGTTATGTCGGGGAAGTGGTTGTCGATAAACCTCAAATTTTGATAGTTTAAAAAATAAATTATTTATAGTTTATTATGATAATTAAATTGCAACTTTTTTTTTAAAAAAAAAAAATTTTAATTTCAAAAAATTTTGCTTATCTGAAATTTTGAAAAAGTTTTTAATAGAAGCTTTAAAAAACTAATAGAAAGTCTTTTTAGACGCAGTTATTTAACTTGCTTAGAGGTTATATAACTAAAACCAATACTTTTTTTGACTATGACTAAGCTACCTGTAATCAATGTTTGAAATTCGATATTCTTAGTGTTTTTAGAGAATACTGTATATACAATTTTTAAGAACATAAATTATTAAAATACAGTATGTTCAGATGAGAACATTAAGAAATTTTTTTAAAATTATTAAAAAAAATATTAAGTTTTCTATATAAATAAATTAAACCTTTTTGAGAACATAAGACTAAATTTGAATTTTAAACACTGGTAAAAAAAAAATATATTTTTCAAAAAAATCATTTAATGTTTCAAATAGAAAATTATTTTAATAATTTATGCTTTAAAAATTTGGTTTTTAGAAAACACTAATATCAAATTTTAAATTTCTTGCGGCAATCGAGTTAATCAAAAATTTCAACAACTTGATCTCGTATCCCTATATTGCAGAAGACTTCATTGTCGCTTCGAAGCGTTTCTGATAACGTGAAAGTTAATGAATCAATCTAGGTTCAATTCTCGTTATTCATATGTTCATCTTTTTTTTACACTAACAGATTAAATTGATGATGTATAAACGAATTGGCATTTTTGTACTTGTAAATGACTTTTAATTTTATTGCCTAAGATCAAGAAAATGAATAAAAATGAATTGAATCACTAATTTATAATAAATGAAATTAATAAACTGCGGCTAAATAGACTAAACCCGAATCATAGGTTAAGATTGTGTTCTTTTACCAAACTTTTAGTCATGTAAGTGCTGCATTAAAGGTTGTTGAGTGTCCCAATGAGCGATTTTAAAAATATTCCGATTTCTATCCAAGAGGCCTAGGGCTTACCCTAGGTGAGATTTATTGGATGCCACTGGAACTTCATTTGGTAAGTGAAAAAATATCTGATGAGTAGTGATCTTCTGGTCCTACTATTTAAAGGCAGAAATTAGAAAATTAAAAATGGCATGACGAAACAATAACTCATGCCTGAACAAGTAACCATTTCTCCCATTGATAACAGTGTCTATGTGACACGTACTCTTGCCACAACTGAACAAGTTTTGGGGGCAATTGAACGTTCAAAAAATGCTTTCTTATCTTGGAAAAAAGTTTCTGTCAAAGAACGTGCAAATATTATTTCCAAATTCGTCGATATTTTTGTTGCTAAAAAAGATGATATCGCTAAAGAGCTAACACTGCAAATGGGAAGGTAAGCTACAATTAAATGAAATAAAATTTATAATTTTTATCAACAATTAAAGAATAAAAAAAATATATCTTGCAGGCCAATTCGATACACTGGTGGTGAAGTCAATGGTACTGCTGAGAGAGCACGATATATGATATCTATAGCCGAAGAAAATCTCAATGATGTTGAAATTAAAGACAAACTTGGATTTCGTCGGTTTATTCGCAAAGAACCTCTGGGTATACCTTTTTATTCTGATTCTTCAATATACCAACATTTAAACACTGTTTAATTTATAGTTATTATCCATTATTTTTAATAGGACCAATTCTAATTATTGCAGGTTTGCGAAAGATAAAGTGATTAATCTCATTTACATTAACATTTAACAATTTTTTTATGTTAAACTTAGCTTGGAATTATCCATATCTGATATCTGTAAATGGTGTAATTCCGGCACTTCTCGCAGGTAGTTATTAAAAAAGGTGCATATGCAAAATTTGACAGCATATATATATAAAAGAAAAAAAAAAAATTAAAGAATTTAATATTAGGTAATACTGTTATCCTGAAGCAATCCCCGCAAACTCCTTTATGTGCGGAAAGATTTGAGGAGGCTTTTAAAGAAGCCGGTCTTCCTGAAAATGTATTTCAGGTATGAAAATGTTTTAATAGATATTCATCTCACAAGTCTTTCGACAAAATAGTTTACTATTTTCTCTGTTTTGTGAATTATTAGATTTTGCATATGTCTAATAGTGACGCAGAGAAAACCATAAAACATTCAGATATTGTTTATGTGAATTTCACCGGTTCAGTCAAGACTGGAAGGGAAGTTCAAAAAGCTGCAAGCTCTAAATTTATCGGTATTATAAACAATTTTGTGTCATAATAATATAAAAAGTCAATAAATTTTCGTAGTTAATAATGCTGACGGATTCAATGTGACATTTGATTAGGTGTTGGACTTGAATTAGGTGGCAAAGATCCGGCCTATGTTCGTCACGATGCCGATTTGGAATACACAGTAGAACAGCTAGTTGATGGTTCCTTCTTCAATAGTGGTCAAAGTTGCTGTTCCATTGAACGAATTTATGTACATGAAGATGTTTATGATCAATTTATCAAAAAATTTATTGAATTGACAAAGGTTGATATAACTTTCGAAATTTTTTGTAATTAATTTAAAGACTTAATGTTTATTGTAAAATTATTTGTAATCTTTAGCAATACAAGTTAGGTAATCCATTGGATCCTGAAACAACACTTGGACCTATTGTTCGCACTAGTTCTGCAGAATTTGTTCGTCAACAGATTGAGGAAGCTAGTATGTGTTGTTAAATAAATAAATGTTACCAAATATTTTTTATTAATTGATTTTTTTTTAGTTTATCAAGGAGCAGTACCTTTGATTGATACTGCATTATTTCCTGAGGACAAAGTATAACAAGCTTTTATGAAGCTAATTATAAATCAACAGAATATAACCGTTTATTTTTTTTTTCCCTGACAGAAAAACACACCTTATTTGGCACCTCAAGTTCTCGTCAATGTTGATCATTCAATGAGAATTATGAGAGAAGAAAGTTTTGGCCCTGTTGTTGGCATAATGAAAGTAAGGCGATGGCTATTTAGTTTATTGTATGCGAAATGGCAATTTCATATATATTTTCAAAATAGGTATCTTCAGATAAAGAAGCTATTAAACTAATGAATGATTCAGAGTTTGGCCTTACTGCAAGTATTTGGACAAAAGATGAAAATGCTGCATTAGAAATCGGAAATGAGATTGATACTGGAACTTGGTTTATGAATCGTTGTGATTGTAAGATAACTTTTATTTTATATATAGAGATGATTAACAATTGCTAACATTTTATTTATAATAGCATTGTTTGTTAATACAAATAAGTTCTATTTCTTACTTGATTTATTTTTTTTTTAGATCTTGACCCAGCATTGGCTTGGGTTGGTGTAAAAAATTCTGGTAGAGGTTGTACTTTGGTAAGTCTATTACTGTATATTTTATAGTATATTTTAATTTCATGTATTGTATTTAGTAAAATTTTTATTTTTTGATATTAGTCTAAGCTTGGATTTGACTATTTTACAAGGTATATATAATTTATATAATTTTTTAGATCTATTATACAATTTAAAGTAATTAAATAAGATTTTTGTTTTAACTTTAGGCCCAAGTCTTTTCACTTAAAATTAACAACTAAATAACAATTTGAGATTAATTAAATAACACAATATTATAAAATAATAATTTTAAGCTTTAAAATTTATAAATAAAAAAGTAGGTTTAAATACACTAGAAAAAAAAAACATATACTTCAAAAATATATACCAAAAGATAAAAATTTTTCAAAAAACTCATTTTTATAAATTATCAAAACAACAAAATAAACAAGAAAAAAAACTGTTGTAGCTTTATAAATAATATAATTAATACAAGTTATTTTAAATACGGTATTAGTTAATATCTACACAAAGCTAAAAAGAGATAGAGATATCTTACTTACTACTTTCAAAGCCTTTGAACTCTTCTTTATCCCTCCTGCTATACTTAACATCTCTTTGATAGATTCTATAGAGATCTCAAATAACCAAACAAAAGAAAAAAGCTACTATATTTAACAATCCTTTACTATTTAAGAAAAAAAAAATAATACAATGTTACAAGAAAACAAACAACAACCCAAGTATTTCTTTTTCAACTCTACCTCATACTGCTTTACAATTCTCAACTCAAAGTAGACAATCTAGCAAATCCTTGCCAAAATCTCAAATAATATTATTTGATTAAAACAAATAAACAAGTATAAAAAATCTTAGATAGTATCATCTAATCAAAACAAATAAACAAGTATAAAAAACAATATATACACCCCTATGCTCCAAATTATAGCTATAGCAATTGATTATCAAAACATATCTAATCTATTTTCAAAATAACTCTTGAAATTTAAAACAACAATTACCAAAACTTGGCAACTTCATACAACAAATTTAATCAAAGAAATATTCAAATAACCTGATAGATATCTAATCCAATACAACTATTGAATCTCTAACTCTTACAACAATAAACTTATCTTTAATTTCTCTAAATATTATCTAAAAGAGAATTACTTACTTATCTGATATAATTCTATAACTATCACTTTAGCCAAAGCCAGCACTTTATATTTTGATACAACAATTTGAAATAATAATATTATTATTAATACTTTCTCTTTTTTTGATTTGTTGTAATAATTTTTTTTATACAAGATCCAAACAAATCCAATCTAACACAACCTACTACATGCAATTAAAACAAAGTTTGACTATTTAGACTTAGCATTCTTTCAATCTTTTACAAGAAATAAAAAGACCTAACCATAGCATTAAAGAAATTTAACTTTTTGTTTCAAATAGTAATTAAAAAATACAAAAAACTATACAATATTTGCTTTATAAATAAATATAATAGAAATTAGATTTTTACTAAACTTAAAGCCAAACTCACTATAGATTTTATATACAATACTGATTTCTTAACAAATAGCCTCTACAACTATATATAAATAATTACTTATTATTTTAACTTCATATAGTATTCAAATAATCCAGATTCAACAGATTCAAATTATTATCTAATCCAAACTATAAGATTAGTTTGGCTAAAAGTTTCAAATTGTCTAGATTAAGCCTAATTTTGAAATTTAGATCTAGATTTTTCTTTTATATTTTACCAATATATAAATTTCAAGTTAACTATATTAAAATATTTACTTCAAATTAGTTTCAAATTCAAACTGAAATTTCAAATTCAGTTGAGTTTAGTTCAATCCTAGATCAAATAGAGTTTTTTAATCTAAATTAAAATACTAACTTTGTACAAATTGTTTGCTTTTTTAGTTTTGAAAATATATGTAATTTGCTAAACAAAACCTACTCCCAACTATTTATTTATTTATTTTTTTATTTTTATTATTTTTTTTTTAGACAATCCTGCTTTTATTATAAGAGGTATAAGTAATATACAACTCTAAAAATCTGTTTGTCTATATATGAGAGTTACAAAATTTCTCTTCTACATAATAAAGATTTATCTGGTTATCAAAATACCTAAATGTGATCTGTCACAGCAATATGTTTACTTATTTCTGGGGCCCTAACTTACTAGAGCTTATCTATCAATTTACTGTAAGTCTGTTACTAGCTTTATCAAAATTGTCCTTTTCTTTTTCTTTTACAAATTTTTCTATCTAGATTTGAGCAGAAATATTAAATCCTTATTTTTATCTAAGAAAAGACAACAATAGCTATAATTACAAAAGAAAATAAAAAGCAAATTTAGAAGTCAAAAAAAAAAAACAGAAAAAAAGAAACAGGAAATATAAAACAAAAAAGAAATCCTAAACTCTATTTAATTATAACTAGAAAAGAATAAAAAAATGTAAAAAAAGAAAGAAAAGAAACAACCAAGATAGCACTATTATAACCTGTGCAAGTTTAAAAAATTATATACTACTCGAGTGTAATGTTTATATATCTCTATTATATCTCTTAAATTGTAACACAGGCAAATTTGCCTGTGTTTTTATTAAAAAGTTTAATTTTTTTAATAAAAACTT